GTCGTTTTCTCTTTAACGGACACAACATTTTTTTATCTTTCGGCATTTTTATTTTTACAAGTCAAATTCTTATTGATGCGTTAATTTTTAAAGAAAATATGCGTAAATTTGGAAGTATTTCTATACAAATTTTTTTTTTTTAAATGTTTGACTAGTAACATTTTTATGGATCTTTTTATTTGTTTATCTTACAATTTTTGTTCTTTTGTTTAAAGTACTTTGTTGTTCATTACATCTAAAAAAAAAAAAAAAAAAAAAAACTAAAAAACAATAACATTTTTTAAAGAACCACTGAATTCGAAAAGTAAAAGAAAGTGAAAAAACCCTAAAAAGTTATATAGATTATATTACTACATAAATAATTTCTTAAACTTAAAACTCCTCTTCATCTTTTTTACCGGTTATTTATTTTCCTATAAAGTGGGTGGGGGCTGCCCCCTTCTTGTTCTTTTATGGCTGTTCTTTGTTCTTTTATATATTTTTTTTTTGTTTAATAAAAATAAAAGTGATTTTTTTTTAAGTTTATTAATTTTTCTTTCCTAATTCAAAACTTAGTAATCTTTTTGTTTGAGAGCCGGACTAACTAAAAAAAAAAAAACTTAAGATTTAAATGCCGGGTTAGTTACGCTCCTCAAGTGATGAAAAAATCTCTTAGCCTTTCATTAGTTTGAATTGCTAAAAAAAAAACTGTTTTTTTTTTTTTGTTGTTTTTTTGTTTTTTTTAGCAAGAAAAAGAAAACATTTTGTAAACTTTACAAAACTTTACTTTTTAAAAAAGACATCTTGATTTTTATTTAGCATTATTTTTATTTATTTATTTAATCGCATAAATTTGTCTTTAAACTAAAAAGAAATCTGATTGGTACGTAAAAAATACAATGAAAATGTTTTTTTTTCTATCAAACTCTGACATTATTATTAAAGACTCTTTAACTTTAACATTTTATTATCCTAATTTTCTTTTTTTTTAACTCAATTCATTAAGAAAAGAAATGAAATCATTCATACCTTTTATTTATTCTTAACACTTTACAATAAATGACATTTAAATTCTTTAAAATGCGTTTTTAAGTAAGTTTTCTTTCTGAGCCCGGAACTGTACATCTTTCTTCTAGGGCATTATTTCTACCTCATCAACTGAAAATGAATTTCATTTAAAACTTTTAATAGTGTATTTTATTTCTGTTTAAAATGAAATTTATGAATAAATAAAATAAACTCTGGTGTAGAAACATTTGCATACAAAATTCGCGTTGTGAAAATAAATTTGCTAACCATCAAAACAACTGACAAAAGAAGAACATGTCACGTGGTTATTTTTTTATTTTTTTTCTATATTGTCAAGTCAAGAATAAATAAGGAGAGGAAAATATTAATCTGAGTTTTTTTACTTTCACACTCATGTTTGTTTTGACAATTAAAATTTAAAAAAAAAAAAAATAATGTCCTTTTTTTTCTTTTCTTTTTTTTTTCTTCCTTTTTAAATGGTCGTTCATTTCATTTACATTCGTAGTTGGCAATATTTTCTCTGATTTTAGTGATTTTTAAATTAAATTCAGATTTTATTTACAAAATTTTCTTTCAAGAAATGAAGCCGGGTATATTTTATTTAAAAAAACAAATGAACTGGATATGTTTGCCTATATCTATGAGATTATTCGAACTGTTAGTTATCCTCATCTTCATTGCCATATTCACAACGTTTCAGCCGTTGTACGCTCCAACCTTCTTCAGGTGGTTGGAATTTGGAACCGAACCCTTTATTTTGTCCACCGCAAGGACACATGACTCAGTGGATAAAAACGTTGGTTAGATCCAGTAACTAGACCCAAAGAGTTGTGAGTTCAATACCAATCCACAGCAGTGGTGAACCAAAACTTAGAGAGTTAAAGGGAAATAACTGAAACATCCGGAAGAAGCATGGCATGTGGAGCTAGAACAATCTACCTAAGGCTAAAATGAATTTTCATAAATTAAATATCTTTCTTGAAGCTTTCATTTTAGCTTTAATTGAAAGCTAATTGATTTAAAATTTACTATTTCCAGTAAACAAAACACTATGTGGTGTATTTCAAACAGAAATTCTATTGGGGCCAATTCATTTTTCTTTTGGCTAAAAATAGCTGATCAGTGCTCTTTTTTTTTTTTCTTTTTTTTTTTTTTTTTATCCATCTGTTATCACATTGATTTTTTTCTGTGTTAAAAAATTTTCCAAAAATAAAATATACTTTTCTGAAGCTTTATTTGACTTAGTATAATTAATCTGATTTGGAAAAAATATTATTTACTTTGAAGTTGAAAATAACAAAGAAATGGATTTTTAAAACAAACAGTAGAGATGATTAAGTGCTTGTCAATGCTCATAAATCACTTGTCAAGTGATTTATGAGGGGTTGACTGTTTTATTGTTCTACAGAGACTTTATCTGTTAAAACATAATTTAAGAAAATGACATGTGAATACTTTCTTGTAATTTTTAAGTACTTAGTAATCTTGAAAATATTGGAAATATTCTTTGTAATCTAATTTTAGGAATGTTGGCTTTAAATTTAATATAGTCATCAATCTTATTTTCTGTTAATATTGTGTATGGTCACCCATATTTTCAAAATGGGAATGTTTATACACATAAAAAAGAAATTAAAAATTATTTTTAAAATCTTTTAAATTTTCGATTCGTAAATATAGTCCTCACTGAAGAACTTAATAACCTAATGCATAGGCAGGTTTTAATTTTTAAGATTTTTGAAATTTTATAAATCATTATAATTAAAAAAAATGAAAACGGTTTTTGTAAAAATTCATTATTCATCAATATATTTTTTCTTCAGACTATAATGTCCTTGATATATATTATCTATAAAAACAATAAAAACTTATCTAATTAAATAATGTCAGTTTTATTACAGTTTTTATTTTACAATTTGGAGCAGATTTTCAGGAACTGAGTAACTGTTTGAAAAAAAAAATGATGATTTACATTCTCCAAGGAGTCTTGCATTTAACTAATCAAACAAATTAAGAGGATGGAATTTAATTTCTAGAAATTTCATGAAATTAACTAAGTGGGGGAGGGGAGGTAACAGATGTAAAATATATACACACCAAGATTTTTGAAAATAATAATTTTAAAAATAAATTCATTCGTTTGTGAATAAGTCCTGCAAGTTCATTAAAATTTAGCAATTATTTGATTTTTGCAAGTATTTCCAAATTGTATTAGGTTGGTGCAAAAATGACGTAATAATGTCGTTTTTTGACGTATTTTTTAACGTCAAAAAACAACATTCTTACATCATTATTTTTGCACCAACCTAATATTATTTTACTGTTAAAATTCTTTTTTTTTTTCTTTTTTTTTTTTGCATCAATGGCATAACACCATTGACACATGAAAAAAGAATTTTAACTCAAATTTTGAACGTGTTAAAAAAAAAAAAAAAAAAAAAAATTTTAAATAAAAATACTTCTTTTTTTTTTTTTTTTTTTTCTTTTAATAATATAAACATTTTGATGCTAAAACTTTATTTTTATTAAGTTTGGGGCCTTTTCTCATTATGGTATGCTTTTTTTTTTCAGCAAATTAGTAGAGGTACCTATCTTTATTTCTTTATT